CCAAAGAAACTAAAACAAACAAAAATCTTAATAGTCACCATTGGCAGTAGCTAGTGTGCCAAACCCTTACTCTGAAAATTGGTACTTAAAGAGGGAGAATTAAGTATTCATTCTTTCTGACCTGTTCAAGTTGTATCTCGGGGTAACTAAATAGCCCTAGCTGACAAGAGAAAAATCTTTCTACAGAAGAATTTGATCTAATAAATGTGATAGGAATTTAAAAAATTAGGAAATCAATCTTTTGCAACTTCTGATGAAATGATTGATTCAGGTAGTGACCATCGATAAATACTAAAAGTGTTAGAGCTGTGGTTCTCAGTGTGGCCCTTGGACCAGCATCTTCAGCATCACCTGGGTACTTCTAGAAAATACAAATTCTTGGGCCTCTTCCAACACCTACTGTATAAGAAACTCTGGGGTAGGCCCCAGTGATCTATGTTTTAACAAGCCTCTAAGGGTTCTGAAATATGCTGGAGTTTGAGAAATATGATATTAGCAGAAAGATTGATGAGGACCTTTATAATTGAAGGATCAGATTCCCTCCATCCCCCGAACCCATTAATCATTGATGTTATATTCTTTCTAATAGATGCATCTAAAACATACTCTTGCCCTCTGCTCCCCCTCAAAAGTAAACCTGAACCTATTCAAGCTTTTATATTTGAATCCCAATTTACAGGAAAACTGGGAGATAGAAGAATACGTTAAATAATATGAGGAAGCAAAAGACAAATCCAGAATGTAGGATGATTGACCCAGTTTCTTAAACAAGTCTGTGCAGTGGGAAAAAGGTGGGAGCGGGAGGGTGACTGGGGGGTAGGGAGACTATTCCAGAAAAAAGCGACACCAAAGATGAAATAAGCATGCACATCTTGTTCGGGCCCTATTTTAAGTAAGCCAACGAGGGAGATTTGAATTCAGACTGGGTCTTAGGTGTTATTAAGGAATTGTTAATTTTGTTAGGTGTGATGTTATTGTGGTTATGTAAGAAAATGTCTCTCTCTCTCCTTTTTTTTTATTTTTTAGAGTTATGTACAAAAGTATTCAGGCTGAAACAAAATAATGTCAGGGATTTGCTTTAGAATACTACAGGAAAAAAATAATGAAAGGAAAAAGGGTAAATGAAGCAAATGTGGTAAAGTGTTGATAACTCATAAATCTGGGGGATTCATTATACTGTTTTCTCTGCTTTCATATATGTTCGAAACTTTCAAATGAAATAAAAAAGCTGTCTGCAATAAATAATATATTTATTAGGATATATTTATTCCTGTGCTAGCCTTTATCACACTGTATTGAATTTGCCTGTTTACTTGTCTTTACCAGTACTTCTGAAACTATCAGTAGTGAAAGACCAATTTTTTAATTGTCTAGTCTGTTGCAGACCATTATTCTTATAAAATACAGTAAAAATCAATTACCAGAAAAGCAAAATGGGAAAAATAGCACATACAAAATGTAAGCTTTAAAAGTTTTGTTATTAAAGTCAACAAATATAAAATTACGTTTCACGTAACAATCAGACACTATGAGTCAGAATCAACTCGATGGCGACGGGTTTTTTTAGGAGCCCTGGTGGCACAGTGATTAAGAGCTCGGCTGCTAACCAAAAGGTTGGCAGTTGAATCCACCAGCTGCTCCTTGGAAACTCTATGGGACAGTTCTACTCTGTCCTAGAGGGTCTCTATGAGTCAGAATCGACTCGACGGCAGTGGCTTTGATTTTTGGTAACAATCAGAACAGGCGTAATATGGAGAAAAAATGTATTTGGACATCGAAAATACACACATAGGCAATTAATATAGAGAATTACTGTTACACTCTTAGGTTTGTTTATTCCAAAATTGTAAGGAAATTCAGTTTTTAATGTGACACATGAGTGTGCTTTTTGCTTGTTAGCTTGAGGGCCTTGTGCTTAACTTGAACTTGGATTGATAACAGTGGTCCTCCCCGGGGAAGATGTATACCTAAACTGATTTTATGTTTGCAGCCGTAGATTTTGCCTCAGTTACTTCTAGTACTGATTTCTCAGCTGATATTACAGTTTTCAGGGATGCCTACACTGCAGAAACCATAAAGAATGGGGAAAATAATAGATACTAGAATACTTGCTGAGATTTTTACTTAAAAAGTGATAGTACCAGCTCTTTAAGTAGTTGGTCTCTTTGTCTCTGGAACTCAGATGTTGTCATTTTTCTCACTGTGTGTTACATATTTGTTCATATGTTATGGCTGTCACTTTAAATAGTAATTCTAGTTTCAGATATTCCATGCCTTTGTATAAGTGTACGTAATATTTTGTTTTTCTGACAGTACCCTTCCTGACGCTAAGCTTCAAAGTTTTTTTCCCAACCCTTGTCTGTGATAGTTCCAGGTTGGACTGATAGCTTCAGTAAACAATAATTGTCGATTCTCTTGTGCCTCCCAGCACTCATTTTGTAGGCAATAGTTTAGGTTCTTGTTCCGTATCTGTTAACTTACAATTGTTCACACTGAATCTGTTATATTTCTTTGTATTGCTGAAACCTCAAAAATCTTTCCTACTAACCAACGTTGACTTAGCATTTTCAACAAGAAGAATTTGTCTATCTGAGAAATCAGTCATTTGTCCATGAAATCATTGTTTGATTTTAGTGATGCAGTTTAGTAGCATTTGGTGTGGAATCTTAGGAAAGAAATTATTAACTAACCAAAAGATATTTCCTTACAGAAAATGGGTCACATTCCCCCCAGTAGGTTATATTTGCCCAGGGGTCCAACCCTTTAGAGATATATACAGGAGTATTTAGGGTCCTCCTCACTATAGAAGTGAGACTCTCATTTACTCTTACAAAGAGATGGCATGATGTCTGCTTGCCATTTCTTAAACGTAGTCACTCTGGTGACAATTTGGACATTTTGACTATAAAAATTGTACATATTTGTTCTTAAATGCCCCCCACCAGAATCATGGATAGCTATGATGTGGGCTCTGTAAAGGCAAGAGGAAGATGTGACAAGCTGATCATCTTAATTTGTAAATGGAGAATAGACAAAATATCCACTTTCATTTAAAGCCTATAATGTGTAGCATGTGGCAGTGTTATTCCACATTTTATAATATTGTTAATGGAAAGGTTCATGATACCATCCATAATAGGACCTTCATCAGCTAAGCATTTAAGTACTGTACCTGTGGTGTTTTATGCATAATGCTAAGCATTGCAGGAAGACAGAAGAGAATGATATGATCCCTTTCCTCAGGAAGCTTAAATGAAAGTATCTTTTATTTTCTAAAACACAGTGTGTTAGGGTTAAGGGTGTGTGTGTGGAGCCCTGGTGGTGCAGTGGTTAAGTGTTTGGCTGCTAACCAAAAAGGTCGACAGTTCAAATCCACCAGCCATTCCTCAGAAACCCTATGAGGCAGTTCTACTCTGTCCTATAGGGTCGCTGCTAGTCAGAATTGACTTGATGGCAGTGGGTTTGGTTTTATGGTTTGTGTGTCTTCGGAGATTTACAATAAATACACAGATAATTACAGTGTGAGACTGTGTGTGATAAGGCATTCAGAGAAGATAAAATTATTTCTTCCTGAAGTGATGAGGGACTATTTAAGGGCAAGGTAGCATTTGAGCAGGGTTTTGTAAGGAAAGTTGATATAGTAAAAAATGCAAAGGTTCTGGTCCCAGATTGACCATTCACTTACCAGGTGTTCAAAGTCTGCCAGATTACTTAATCCCTATATCTCCAGCTTCCTCATCTATAAAATCTAGAGTAATAGTTATCATAGAGAGGATTTTTAGGAGGATTACTGTAATATGAACATGCTTTGTAATATGAACATGCAGTATAAATGTTATTAAATTTAATAGTTAGTATTGAGAATGGCATGGGTCAACAGCATGGAATTAAAAAACCAGTAAACCAGACAGACTGGAGCAAAATATGTGTGAAGGTGACTGTGAATATTGATTCACCCATACAGTTACTTAAATAGAAATGTCTTTTCAAGATCTGTGTTGACCCTCTCTGCCTCAAAAGATAGCTTCAGAGGCCTTTTAGATCTTCAGGTGAAACGTGAATGAGTTCTAATGTTTAGTTTTATTGAATTCATGTAAACAGTGTATGCAGAATTAATTTTCCGGTAAACCACTTTAATAAAGATTTTAACAGTGCACAAAGATAGCTAATGTATCCTGTAAATTATATTTATTTTAGTTTAGTGTACATGGCTGTCATGACAGTGTTTGATTTAGAGATCAAGTCTGCATGTTCTTGGGTAGATCAGGACTGCACCCGTATACAGGAGAACAGCGTGTTGAATTGTTTAAGCAACTTGCAGATACCCCTGTATCATGGTGCAGGTGGTTTGTATGATAATTAAATGAAAAGAATGCTTTAAAGAAGGTGTCCCTTTTAAAAAAAGATACCCCTTGTCTGGTGGGATATCAGAGATTCTTGTTTGTTTTACATACATTTTATTTTTAAAATGTGGATTAGAAAACATATTCAATAAAATTTCAGCAAAAAGATAGAAGGAGTGCTTAGGCATAAAAAGCATTTTGAGTTGTACTGTGAATATTTTGCCACCTGCTGTTGTCTGGTCTTGGTCTCTTACCGTGTATCTGAACTGCGCTGAAATACAACTGGAGTTATTTCTCTCAAGGGCAAGGAACTTGGAAAACAACATGTTATTTGAATACTAACCCTTGTTTATTAAAAAAGCTGTTTGAGGGAAAAAAATCCTGAATACTAATTAAAAAAAAAAAAAAGTTGCCATCAAGTCGATTCCGACTTATGGTGACCCCATATGTGTCAGAGTAGAACTGTGCTCCAATTTTTAAAGGCTGATTTTTTTAGAAGTAGATCATGAGGACTTTCTTCTAGGGTGGACTTGAACCTCCAGCCTTTCAGTTAGCAGCCAAGTGCATTAACCATTTGCCCCACCCAGGGACTCCTGAATACTAGTACTGGGTTATTTTATGTTGGTGAATAATTTTAAATTCTCTCTTCTTTTACAGATTATCTTGCTAATCATGGCCGGTTAAATGAGTCTGAGGCCAGGCGTAAATTCTGGCAAATCCTGTCTGCTGTTGATTATTGTCATGGTCGGAAGATTGTACACCGTGACCTCAAGGCTGAAAATCTCCTGCTGGATAACAACATGAATATCAAAATAGCAGGTAACTGGGACACAGCTGGCTCTCATGTAATTAGTGTTTGCTGAAACAAACCTGCAGGCGCAGAGTCAGGATCATTTCTACCAATAACATCAAGCTTTCTCCAAGTGTATTTTATCCATTGAATTACACATAGCTTTATGTGTAATTAAAAGTAAAGGAAGTAAGTTCATTATGAATATACACAGTAGTAGGGCTGATTAGTATCCTCAGTCTGATTGGTGTCCAGGTCCCTTTGTGGGGGCTTTGCTGGAGGAGGGTACTTGTGTATCAGTGTGAGAGTGATTGGAGGAACTGGCAGAGCTAGAGGAGCAGTGTGGGTTTCTGGTGCTATAACCTGCTGCCCTAATTATGGAGGCTGGCTACAGGGCGGTTTCATACAGAGACAATACAAAGGAGGCAGTGGCAGTAGAATGAGAAAGGTTTGAGCCAAAAAGCACCTCGCCTTGCTCTGATATAATAGGGTTTTAATTTATAACATGGAGACTAGAGGTAGACACTGTTTTTGCTTGTTTTCCTCCCACCCTTTTCACTATTATAAAAACATTTTTATTTTATATTCTCGGTGTCTTTATATAGCAAAACTCTCATCCATTCAATAAATATTTATATGTCAGTACAGGCATTCCCTGGGTTGCGAACGTCTGACTTACGTACAACCCATGAACCAACCTCCAAAAAGCCAATTAAAAATTCAAGGTACCGACAATGGTTCATAAAAACAAACGGGTGCTACTTTGTGACGCATGTCAAAACATTATTATTATTATTACTGTATTATAATGTTAAAGATGTTTTTGTGTATTTAGAAGTGTTTCCTTAATGTTTTCTATGCACAAAACGATACACTGTATACTACATACTAAGACAAGCATTTGACTAACTGACATTAGATAGGAACCGTACCTAACTGTTCTGGTTATAATGTACAAATTCAACTTAAAGACAGATTTAGGAACAGAACTTGTTCTGGAGACTCGTAATCTGAGGACTGCCTGTACTAGGGATACAAACACAAAGTCATTTCCTCTAATCTTAAAAGTCTAGTGGGGAGGTATATATAATTAAAATATAGTATGACAGTTGCCATAAATAAGGTATGTATGAAATGCAGTGGGAGTAGAGGTGACGGAACCAGTCTACCTGAGGAGTCAGGGAAACTTCACAGAGAAGGAACTATTTGAGCTTAAGCTTAAGAAGTTTGAATTAGAAGCTTGCCAACAAGATAAACAGAAGTAGACATTCCAGGCAGACAGTATAAATACCACAGGCATGAGAGAGAGATTGAAAGTGGAATGGTGGGGGACTGTAACTCGATATTGATTAAATGTAAAATCTGTAGGAATTGGAGATTGACACAGGAGGAGCCGGCAGGCCAGGACCAGAATCTGAAGGGTCTTGAATGCCGTGTAAAAGATGTTAGGGTTTATATAGGTAATAGCGGTCTCAAAAAAAAAAACCCCAACCCATTGCTGTCAAGTCAATTCTGACTCAATGACCCTATAGGACAGAGTAGAACTGCCCCATAGGGTTTCCAAGGAGCAGCTGGTGGATTTGAGCTGCTGACCTTTTGGTTAGCAGCCAAGCTCTTAGAATAGGGGTCTAGCTTATTGAAAATTTTAGGGCAAGGATAGGGTGAAGTGGAAATGAGATAACATGATTAGATTTGCATGTTAGAAAGATGTCTCTGACAGCAGAGTGAAGGTAGATAGGAGATAGTGAGAAGATTAGAGACAGGAAGATTCATAAGGGCCTAATGCAGTAGTCCAGTTATGAAAATGTGAGTCTGGACTACAACAGTAGCAGTAGAGGTTGAACGTATAGGATGAAGAAAGGGAGATGTATTGGGGTAGGGTTTAGAAGAAGGTAAGGGACATGCGGTTTTTAAGCTTAGCAAAGTTACAAGCAGTGGTGTGTTGTTCTAGGATTGTGAAAGAGGATCAGGGAGACATCCAGATGAGAGGAGCTGACCAAGAAATTACTGGTTGACTAGCTAGGTTGGATACTCACTGGCCTCAGTAACTTCAGGGAGAAAGGAGCTGCCTTGGTTTTCTGCATTTGTTATAAATATAAGTTAAAAGCCTCTGGTCTGTGCATTGAACCAGTTTGTTTCTACGTCATTTCCCATTAGTTTTTCGTCTTGGGCATTTTGGGGAAAATAAATAATTTTTACTTCTTTTGTTTTATGTGCCAGTGTTACACATGTTATAGGAGAGGTAATGGATTTTCCATTCTGTAGTCTGTGATTTTTTTCCCCTAGTAGGATTGCCTGCATAAGACAAAGTGTTTTTAAAATTAATTTGTTATATTCCCATATACATATAAAGATTTGTACTGATTTGTCATTTTTATTTTAAAAATGGAATATACAATATTAGTGTTTCCATAGTTTCTTGTATGTGTTCATGTAAGAACACACATAGCTCTGTAGAATAAAGGAGGGAAATCCTGCTTCACCTTTAGCTCCCTTTATTGCCAAAACAAAAATTCACAAAAACAATAGCTCAGAGGAGTTCTGGGAGTCTTTTTAGGCAGAAAAAGTTTAGAGATGTGAATCATTCTGCTGTAGGAATTATAGAGTGCTCTGTTAATAACATTTCAAAAGAAACTTTCAAAGTAAACCACCAAAGAAGCTTGCAAACAAAAAATACAGAATATTACTTTAAGGTTATAGCCAAGTTTTGTCTGGCTGTAGTATATCTACTGTAATTCTGGCCTGAAATGTAGGTAGGTAAACTCAGTATTTCTAATGTCATTACGTAATATCTAGGGTTTTGTTTGTTTGTTATCTGTTTTCATTTTTGTTTTCGACTATCTGAACTTCAGGGCCTTCTAATTATCTAGAATGTCAAATACATAAAGTTGTTTTCTCCTGGGTAAGCCGGTCTGACAGCTAACATTTATTGAGCCTTCACTATTTTCATGTACTCTGCTAGGAACTTACATCATTTAATTTTCATGGCAACCCTGGAAGCTGCACAGCTGTTGCCAGTTTTTAGATGAGAATGCTGAAACTCAAAGAGATGAAATAACCTGCTAAGGTGACACGGATAATAAGTAGCAGACTTAGAATTCAAAAGCTAGGGATCTCTGACTGCAATGTCTGTGTTTCCTCCATTACCCTATGTTGTAGTTCCCAATCATTATATGTCAATTATTCCTCAAGGAGTACTCACTAAGTTTTGGGTTCCATCGTCCTATATTTATACATTTAGTGTCCCTGCCTCCGTCTCTTACAAGTGGAGTTACACACCTGTACACACAAGCATATCTAAGCACTCAAATATTTCTTGCCCACACTTTTTTCTCTGTCACCCTCAACCCCAAATTTCAGAGAACGTGTGTTAAGCATCTATTATGTGGTGATGCAAATGGTTAATGCACTTAGCTGCCAACCAAAAGGTTGGAAGTTCAAGTCCACCTAGAGTCTCTTCAGAAGAAAGCCTGGTGATCTACCTCCCAAAAAATCAGCCATTAAAAACTCTATGGAGCATTTCTACTCTGGCACACATGAGTTGGAATCAACTCAACAGCAACTGGTTGTGCTCCAGGGCTAAGTCCTGGAGATTCAAACATTTCCAAATAACAGCAACAACAAACAGGGCTCAACTCTGTTCTCCCCACAAGGAGTTAACAATCAAGTAAAGAAACAGATCTTCAAGTAAGTATGATACAAAAAGGTAATTGTTTTAAAGGCCATGAGGCTAGGAGAAAGACTGCCTGGAAGGGTCAGGGAAGTGATTGGCTTAGACTTGATTAACAAGAAGGCATTTGTGGTAGGGTTGGGGGAGGGAGGGATACAGAGAGACAGAGAGTTAGTTTTGAGAGGGTGAGGTAGGGATAACTGTTCCTAGCAGGAGGATCAGCATGTGCAAATGTGGAGAACATGGAGAGTTTAGGGAACTACAGGCCAGAGCTAGCGGAACATAAGAAGTGCCAGCGAGAAGTGAGAGGAAAAGAGCCTGGACAAGTAGGCAGGGGCCAGATCATGAAGAATTCCACGTGCCATACAAAGTTTAGATGAGTTCTAATGCCTTTAAAATATTTCTCAAGATTATTTGTTTTTAGCCATAGTTTCTATAACTCTTTGATGGCCCTGCTTTCCTTTAAGGACATCATCCTCTCATCTCTGAAAATTCTTCTTGAAATTTAAAGGACTCTAACACACATGGAAAAGATGGGAAAGACATTTCAAAAACCCAGAATAAAACTGTTCCCTCAAATTAGACTTTGTTTCTTCTGCTGATAAAAATCCTTTTAATTGCTAAATGCACTGTTTTAGCCAACTTGTATGTTGAAATTGAAGAGAAGTACTAACCAAAACTAGATTTAAATTAAATTATTTGTCTCTGTAAAAAAAAAAAAAAAAAAAAACTGGAATAGACGTATCAGGCATGGTTCACTTTGATAAATATAGAAACATGGTTTTGATGTCAGCATCTACTTTATGCATCCCCCGTGGGTAAAGGCTTCATACACTGGTGAGCCATAGATACACCCACATCTGTACTCATTGCCTCAATTTTGAGACCTCTAACCTTTGTAAAACATGACAGACATTCAGAGTAAGAGGGTGGATGCAAAGCAATGATGGCTTTCGTTTTCAGTGTTTGTAGTTGCAGTACTGTTTCCTCCTAGCTATTTTGTCCGTCCTCACAATCACTGCTATGTTTGAGCCCATTGTTGCAGCCACTGTGTCAGTCTATCTAGTTGAGGGTCTTCTTCTTTTTCACTAACCCTCTCTCTACTTTACCAAGCATGATGTCCTTCTCCAGGGGCTGGTCCCTCCTGGTAACATGTCCAAAGTACGTGAGATGAAGTCTCACCATCCTTGCTTCTAAGGAGTATTCTGGCTGTACTTCTTCCAAAACAGATTTGTTTGTTCTTCTGGCAGTCCATGGTATATTCAGTATTCTTCGCCAACACCGTAATTCAAATGCATCAGTAATTCTTCATTCTTTGTTATTCATTGTCCAGCTTTCACATGCATATGAGGTGATTGA